TGTCTGGGTCAGCACCTATCTAATTGCTGAGTTAGATCAGGGGCCATTTTAAACCTGATAAAATTCCCTCGAACTTCTAGATATATGTCTGTATGAAGGTTTTTGTGTTTGGGATCTGCAGCACGTGACAAAATGGTTCCTGTTGTGATAGGTAAAACAGAGCTTTCCAAATGCATCACATTTGAGTCCATGTTGCCTTCCACATTTGCTGCATGCTCGCTCTCCCTTTGCACACTCCTTGCCAATGGAAAATTCTACCCTGTGAGGTGGTTTTTTCTTGCCATAGGCTTTCATGCCCTGGGCATGAATGACCCCTTTTGGTGCAGTCAGCTCTGCAGGCTGGGCCCTCACATTTGGACAGTCTTTTCTGGGTATGTGTGAGACTCAGGGCAGGGTAAGGCAGTGGGCCCAATCTGGCACATGTGGGACTGGGGTAGCGGTCTCAATTTGGCATGCACAGATTGCACAGATTGTGCCTGCAGTCTTGGGGGCAGGATTGCAGGCACAATCAAGCACACATGAGGCTGGGGTCAGATCTGCTGTGTGGAGCTGGGACTGTAGTTGTGATATGGTGCACAGGACAAGAGCCATGAGTGCCAGGTTGGGTCCATAGACTGGATCCAGCCTATGGACCAACCCTGCACCACTCATCTGGCCCACAGCTCAAAAAGTTGGAGACCACTGATCTTACCGAAGTTTCTCTTGTTGCAATTTAAGCCTTTTACTTCTTATTCTTCCTCTAGTGGACAGAGTGGAATCCTCTTTATAACAACCGTCTTTGTATTTCAAAATGGTTGTCAAATCCCGATTCAGTCTTCTGGTATTTAAGCTAAATAATCCAGGTTCTTCCTGACTCATTTTAAAGAGACTGTTGCTTGACTAAGGACTGCTCATATGAATAAGGATTTTTATGTCTGTGTTCTCTCTGTGGTAATATTTCCCTTTCTTTGTTCAGTGATGATGTTTGTACCTATATGATACCACCTGAGAAAGAGAGGATATATTTACTACTTGATGTAAATGAGTGTTATGAAGAGAGAAACTGTATAGTAGTAGCAGTTGTAGTAGTAGTAGTAGTAGTAGTAGTAAACCAAGTATAACTGAAGTCAGCTGAGTCACACTGGAGTGAAATTTCTACTGGTACATAAAGAATGAGGTAAACATGAGCAAAGCAAGCAGTATGGGGTCATAATTTTTAAAATACGACATCATCAGGAGAGGTGAATTTAGAACGATCTATACATTCTAAAGGGGGAATCATTTTTGCCTGGGAAAAATTATAAGAGCAATACTTGTGAAAAAATATATACATTTGCCTTGGATTTCTGCTACAAACCAGTTTGTCTAGATGCACACAGTTGAAGTAGATTAAGCAAAGCTGTTTGACCCAAAACTCTGTGTTGTTCCTAGGCCTTGAGATGGCATGGGTCCAACGGCCTCCAGAAAAAGCCTTAAGTGGGGAGTTCTTCAATGTAACGTATGCAGTGTTTGCTTCAGATCACTTCTACCAATATGCTGTCCAAAATGGCATCCTCTCTCACAGGTACTATCTCCTATAGAGACTTCTCTAATGTTCAGAACAATGTACTGCAGTGGATTCCTGGCTATTTTCAATGATGTGGCTGTACTAATGACTGTACTGGTAGACGCTCTGGGAGCATTTTTCTTTGGAGTGACTGTTCCATTCCTTTCATTCTGAGCGTAATATGCTTGCAGGAATTCTACTGAATGGTGGTTAAGAGTAGTTGCATATCCTATTGTGATTGTACACCATCACTACCCTAGCTTGCTTGTCTTCTCCTTCTGGTATGACTTGGCTTTTAGACTACAAGCTCATTGGGATGGAGGTATTTTTGTACAGGGTCTAACACAAAGGGATCCCAGCTGGTTGCAGCCAATATGTATTACCTCAACATCAATAATGAATTATAGTAGCAATAATAATTCATATAGTTAAATTCATTCCTTGCAAATATAACTACAAGATGGGCCAGATTTTGAGCTCATTGAAATCAATTTTCTATTGATTTACCGGGACCAGAATTTGTCTGAATGTATATGTATTGACTTAGAGAAGCTTTCACAGATAACTATGAATGATATTTAATCAAATGAATCATCCACATAAACTTTTATTTTGTTCATCTGAGAATTGTTACCTTCTTGCATCATATATGGTAAAAAAAAAAAATCCTTCTCACACTTCCCAAAATATGCTTTATAGTAAAATTTCATAGCCATTAATTATAGCATTACAATAGCATTGCCAAAAAATAAACAATTTCTGCCAGTAGAAGAGGGATTATTTCAACAGTCTTTTCAGTGCAACTTGTTCTCATAAAACATTTAGGAGCTTTTGAAAAGACCGCAGTTAAATCTGGTTACTAACACATTTATTTCTTACCACATTTATTTCTTTCCTTAATAATGTCAAACTCAAGTGCAGGGAACACACACTGTCATTCAACAAGGCACTTAAATATGTGACTCATTTTAAGCATGGGAGTGGTCTCACTGATTTTAGTGAGATACTACCATGCTTATTGTAATTGGTCCAACCTCCACTGTAGTTTATTCAAATTATTCCACTGGCTTTTGTGGGCTTCAGAACAGGGCCAAGATGTGGCAGATGCTCAATGGAGGCCATAGGGGTTAAATTAGATAAGGTATCTATTTGCTGCTTTTTCAAGGTATTTAGGCACCTGGCAGTGTGCATAGATGCTTAGGAGGAATTTTAAAAGAGCCTTAGCAAGTTAGATGCCAGATACCAAGTCAGAAGGTTGGGGAAATCAGTGGGTGCTTGGTACTTAACCTGCTTGGGCTAATTTGTAAACCTAAAAGGTGCCTACCTCTATCTTTGGGTACCCAAATACCTTTGTAAATCTGGCCCTAGCCAATCTTGAAAGATTTACCCTGGCATTTACAATTTAAAATATGTATTTGTTTATACCTATATTTATATTTTAACTCTTTGCATTTATACCTTCACAGTGTAGTCTCTTTTTATAATGCTACTAGTTACTTCTCAGTGGGTGCATCTACATGTTCATTAATGCACTGTAGTTCCAGCACATTAAGTTTGTATAACCAAGTACTAAATCAACACACAGTAACTGCTAGCACCAGCACATGGCTTTTTACAGATGCTAACTGCGCAGTAGTCTAATACTATTGTGCAGCAGTGAATTAGCATGGTTTTGCCCTGCACACTACTACACAGTATAATTAGGCTACTACACAATTAGCATAGCATGTAGATGCACCCCAATGGCTGCATCTACCTGTATGCTTTGCTGCAGAGTTGACTAATTAGCTCTACAGTAAAGCATCGCTATCTACACATGCGCCAGTATTAGGGCACAGTAAATTAATTTAAAATAGAGTAATCACATGTTCTGAAATGCATATGTAGATGATATCAGGAGCTGGCTGGGGCACCAGGGCTGCCTGCACTCTAGCCTGACACTTGAGCACCCTCATGCCCTGGCCAGGCCATATGTTATCTGACACTGCCACCTGGAGCCTGGGACTGACCCTTGGGGCCCTGCCAGCCTGGGGCTGCTACACCCCAACTCAAACTGCTGTAAGGTGTTTGTGCAGACTCTGCACCCAGGAGCCGCTGACTGTGACAGAAACTTCACCAGTTTATCACGTTGCCTTAATGGCACATGTAGATGCATCCAGTGAATATAATTTGCAGTACAGCAAAAATGAAATCTTTTATAGAACTTGGATACAGAAAGTTACAGCACAGCACACATTTTCATATGCTGCTCAAATGTTGTCTCAGGCTTATTTACATAGTGCAGCTCATTAAAGAATATTGTTTCAATTATTTTTACTTCCTCTTGCATGGCACCAAGTTCAGAGAGAAAATTGCTTATCTGAAAGTAGGGCTGGGTAAATCAGGTGGAAAAATTGTAGTGACATACATTTTTTTGTGCATGTGTGGTTTTTGCAATCTTTACATGTGGTAAACTTTTAAGGGCCTTGAATCATTTTACAGCTGAGTTCACTAAATCCACTTCTGGTTCTAAATGTCACGATTTTGCAATTTGCAATCTTTGAAATCTTACACACCAGGTAGGTCTAAGCTGGTCTTTTACAGAGCCAGGCACTGTCCTACTGAAACATGCTACACCAGCTCCCTGAATATTACCTTCCAAGCTGGATGTAGTGTAGTCACTCAGTGCCACAGCCCGTGTGGCATGCATGCCTGGCATGCACACAGGGCTCTATGTGTGTGAATACACTTCTTTCAGTTCAGGAAATATCCTATGCAGAGCAGGCATGATATATTGGGCTGTAATTGAGCAGTATGGACATACTCATAAATATCATAGCCATTATCCTTGGACGTTTGAGATGGTGGAGAAAAGACAGAAAGACTGAATAGCACACATTGTATGTTTCTAGAGCTATAAAGAAACAAACATGCTGATGATAAAATGAGGATGGAAGTATTCAGGAACATATATACTATGGTTTTACCATCAGAGGTGCCATGAGTGGTCTTGCCAAAATCCTCCATCTGGTGGGGCAGTCAGGTTGGATGGCCAAGCTGAGGTGTTGGGATCTGCTGGTGGGGTGGTAGCTGCCAGAACTTCCTCCTACAAAGCAGTAGGTGGTAGCCCAGTCAACAGTAGTCTTTCAGTGCTCTGGGACTGCCTGACCCTAAGGTAAAACAGATAAGTACAAAGAAACAGCCACATGTCTCCTGCCATGGATGTTTGCACCATGACTTTTTTCTGTGCTGTTTAAAGAGCAGAATTTCATTTTGTGCCTGTTGACATTTTTAGGAATGAAAAATTAATATAAATTATCTTTTTATTTTAAAAAAATGTTGTTTGCCCAGCAATGCTACTGCTGCAAAGAAGTTTTGCGAAGAACAGGAGTGCCCTTCCAACTGGAAAGATGCAAATGGAGAGAACTGCTGTGTTCATCATGCCAACATTCACTCCTGCCCCTTGGCCTTTATGGTTAGTACCGAGGGTAGGGCTTTCAGAAGTCTGTTTGCCCTGGTGGATAGGCCACTTTCATAGCTAGACTCAACATCATGAAAATTAGATGCCTAAAGTCAGACCCTTCCTTGAGGATCAAATCCAGGGGCTCATTAAAGCCTGTGAAAAGATTCCCATTGAATATAAAGGTCTTTAGATTAGGCTCCCAGGTACCAAAGCAAAAGGTTTGACTTCTCAGAAGTAGTGAGCAGTTTCCATTCAAATCAGGGAGAATCCCTCACTGACTTGCAGAATTGGGCCCTTTAAACTGGTTTGTCTTTATTAGATTTGATCAAGGCAAAACAAACATTTTAGGGCTAGAGAATGAACATCTGAAGACTTGCTGGTGCACAGTGAGCAAGATACATTCATTTATTTTTGGATTCTAGGAGAGCATGTGTAACCAAATTTATGGGGTGAAAAGCTGAGCCCATTTAAATAAACAGGAATGTTTCTGATAAGCTGGGAGTCTCCATTCTTTCTGATCTTCATTATTTAATATGGTGACTGCAGAAGGAAGTGTGGGGACAATTTGAACTCTGTGTGTTTGCTGAAGGACATAGAGAGCCCATAGGTGTAGAAAGATCACATAAGGCAGGACCACCTACATGGTGGCCCTCATGGGAATTCTAATAACTATTTCATTAGGAGGGAGAGTTTTGCAGAGGGAAATCAGTCTCTCACCCACCAATCACATACATATCCCGGGATACACCCTAGAGCTAGTTGTATCTCCATGCTAAGGAGTTCTGACTTTGCTCCTTGGTAGCACTGGCTCTGCTTTCTCTCAAGAGATAGATGCCTGCCAGAATGATCATACAACCTCTGGATGTCTTATCTTTCTGATGGACTCACAGCAGCGGTCAACATGCACCCCACCAGCATGCCTGCTCCTCTCTTAGTCTACCCACTGACTGCTTCCTTCCCCCTTCCTCTCCCCATCTGAATCTTCAAAGCCACAAACACCCCTTTGTGGGAAGACAGGAGGGGATCTCTTGTGAAGATAGTGCACCCCTGAATTCTTTGTGTGGGGAATGAGATCTGTGAACACACCTGGCACAAAGAGTCCATCTAACCTCACATTTCAAACTTTTTGTGGTTTCCTGCTTGAAAAAAGGCAAGTTTGTGTAGAAAAATTATCATAGACCAAAAATACCACAAGATTGTGGTTATGAGTCTGAATGGGTATTTACCAATCAATCCCTTTCTATTAAGCAAGAGCTTTCTGACAGTGTCGTGTGTTCTGAATAGTTTTACCTTAGCTGACATGAATAATCCGTCTCTTTTTCTGTACCATAATCTAAAGTGCATAAACTGCAGAAATATTTGAAATTTGGAATTAGAATTAATCCATTTCAAAAAAGAAAAAAAAAAAGACAACAACCTACATCTGTACGTAGTCATTATAATCCTTCATGGCTGCAACTGTTAGGAAATTAAAGTCTTTGCAGCCTTAATGAGAAATGCTGTGAAAGAAAGCGTTTCATAGCAGAAATGCTTTATTCATTAGTCAGAAGAAGCTGCTATATCAAAATGAGTGCTGCTGTGAAACTACTATGTAACAGCGAAAAAATTGGAGCAAAATTCTGCTTCTTCAGTGAGGTAAATCCAGAATGACTTGATCAAAGTTACCCCACACTGACTTTGGCTCATGTTCTTTATAGGAGTTTTATGAGATTTTTAAACTAAATTATAAATGGCTTTGTTCCTATTGCTTGTGTTTTATTTTGGTATACAACAATACCATTTAGTATACAACAATAGTATTTGTGATTTTAGTATACAGCAATACCATGGTGTCATATTGTAGATGCAGATATAATGCCTAATAATTGAGTGGTCATTGTTTTGAAGCACAAAACTTTATAAGAATACTGAGGGAACCTGGATTTTTCACTGTTTCATTATTTATTGCAATTGTTTGATGAAGGGGAAAGGTGGAATATGTGGGCCATGGATTCCAGATGATGGACAGATATTTACTCATACCCTATCTACAGCTGGCAAAATGAGTCAGAAAAACTGGACTGCCAAGGTACATTACATTCTCTGCCTATTATAGTTTATTTGGATTATTATCTTTCCAAGACAGCTTGTAGTAGTTTGAAATAATGTTGTGGAGTCTTAATGCATGAAAAAGGTCAAAGGTCCACCTGAGCCTAGGTTAGCAAAATGAAGCCACGCTAGTTTCTACAGCTAACAGCACACAATGAAGTAAGACTTGAACTCAGACATCTGGAGCTATAGGAAGACACCTTAGCTGCTTTTCTACCATGTATGACAACCTTGCCCCCACCTCACCATGCATGTAAAGGTTGTAGGATAAAAGCCAGATCCTACAAGGTGCTGAGTGTTTGTAATTCTCCACTGGCTTCATTGGGAAGTGACTGGACCTAGTGCTTTGTGAAGTCCAGTCCCCCACAGGAACAAAACACTGAGTTTTCAGTATTGTCATTTCCTGTGCCGGTGTCTCTAAGGGAGGCATGGTTCCCATCTTCCCTTTTACCATAGAAGGAAGAGGAGGAACTGCAAAGATCTTAAAGGCCTTTCCTTTAGCCCAGCTATAGATGTGCCCCAATCCTGTTCCCTGCCAAGGAAAAGAGATACCTACCTGGCTTCTTCACACTATTGGTGTTGAGTGTGGGGAGGCAGTGAGCTTGTGAGCAGCACAGTGCCTTAGAGGCACTTCTCACTCTTAAAACCTGTTTCCTGCCCCTGACACCTCTGTGACAGAAGAGAAAAGTCCATCAGAGTGAAGATTTTTCTCAGATGGTTAGAAATGGGGAGAGGGAAAGGAAGGACTCTTCCCCCAGTTCCTTTCCCAAAGGCAATACAAATACTTGGGAGATGATATCACTGCATAAACACTGCTTCCTGCTTCTTGCTCTACGTTATAATGACTCTAGGAAAGTAGCCCACTTTAGGTCTTAGGTAACATCTAATGCATACACTGATAAATATATCTAAATGAAATTCCTAGATAATTGATTGAGTTACTCTATAAGGCAGTGGGAAGATTTTGAGGTAGTTAGTACCTAAGAATAGGAAGGGGCAATACTAGGTCTAGGGGAAAGGAGCATGGGTTATTGATGTTGAAAGATTCTTGTTTGCACAATTTAAATCAATTGTGATTGTGTTAATTTGTTTTTCAGGTAGTTTTGGTTCATGTGGGTGTGACCTCTCTCATCGCACACATCAGGGTTGGCAGAATTCAGGTAGCTCTGGAAGCCAAAACCACTGTCCTACCTGCAGTAGGTATGAAACTAAACGTAGAGTCAATGTATATGAAATAAGTATTACGTAGTGCATCCTACTTATAGATAAGCATGAAGAACAGGAGGATACACATCTTCCCTTCCCCCATAAGGACCTCAGCAGGTTATCTAGTCCAACCCCTGCTCAAAGCCCAACTAAATCATTCCAGCCAGGGATCTGTCAAGCCGGGCTTTAAAAACCTCCAAGGATGGACATCCCACACAACTCTAAGTAACCGGTTCCAGTACTTAATCACCTTCCGAGTGCAAGAATTTTTCCTAATATCCAACCTAAACTTCC